CCAAAAAAATGGGCTTTGGATCCAGATTCAGGGCCCTTGATACCCTATAGCAAAGCTTCATCAAAAAGGTCAAAAGCCTTAAAATAAGAATGTTTGTTTCTGATTGGTCAGTTTTCGACCAATGAAACCTCGGCCACCGAAATGGGCGATGGATTCGAATTCAGGGCCCTTGATAACCTAAAGCAAAGTTCACTCAAAACGACCAAAAGTCTTAAAATAAGCTAACCTCTCTGGTATGTTTTTTTGACCCTAATCAAGCAAGATGACAAACAAACGCATTTTATTTCGTATGACCCTCCCTTCAGTCGAGGGAATACGTATTTTGAAGTCGCCTGAAAAAAAACTAATAATTTATGTTACTATATGTTTAGAGAACAAGCAATTACGTTCTCAAATACGAAATACTAATTTCCTGAAAAATAAGGCTTATTGTAATGCCATGCAACTTGTGCAATTTTCTTCGATGATGACTCATTGTCGATGACGTGTCAAATTGAGAAGCGAATGCAATAAATATTTAATGTTTCGGAGTTTTAGTTATGATTGATCATAGATGAGAAAAATCTTTCAAAGACTTTTCTAAGAGCGGCTAGAATGGTAACACATTTTATGAGAGGCGAAATGTCGACTAATAAAGCTGTTTATTGGATGTTATTTCATTTTACGCTTTTCTTTGTTGTTAGACTTGTGTAAGAATGTTCTTGCACAACTTCAATCATTCAACAATATAAGAGAAAGAACGAAAAGAAATACTTCGACGAGCCGCGATCGGAGATCAACTCTCTTGTTTTGAGCCTGAAGCAACACAACTCGGTCTCTTTGTGTCATAGCAATATGATTCAGAGAAGCCACGATCTTCGATTAAATTGACACCCGTCATGCCATTTTTTGATAATTATGATTTTTTCCTTGTCAATTTCTATATAATGGGTATTTTAGCGATTGTATCATAATTTATACTGATAAAAGAACACCTTAAATAGACTGTTTAGATGTTTTGAACATTTTAGAGTGTAAAATTAGGTGAATAAATATTCTAATAAAACATGAAATACTGGAAGAATCACTTGTAACAAAATTGACTGAGTTCATTTTTAAATGATGTAAGCTAGTTTACATTTAATCAAAATGCATTCAAATTTTGTGTCAAAAATATCGATTAAGCCATATATATATACATTAGAGGCTTGCAGGGCAAACTTTTCCGTGTCTCATGGACTGAAAAGAACATAGAAATATTGCTCTGTCAAAGAAGAATACGTCTTTCCTATACTACCAATAGATAACATAAATTCATATAGATGATTATTAGACGAATCAGATATCTTTTAATATATATAATTGGCAGTATAATATCGATCGAGGAATACGTCTGGGTACAGATGAAATTAATAATTTACTACTTATTAAATGAAATCTTGGAGCAGTAATGAAAATTTACTTCCCTGTAGCCGAAGTGAAAGAAAAAAGATGAATTTGGAGTATAACTGGCAGTTTAAGCACACTCTCATCCTCATATACACACTGATTAATGCGCAGAATGAACTAGTGAACGAGACCATATGCCTAAATTATAGCAGCAATGAGACAACTATTGGAAAGACACGATA